CTTCTTTGGTTCAAAAAGAACTAGTTCTTCTTTCTCCTGTTGAGAGTGTGCTACTATCATTTCCATGTTGCCATGGTGACGTCTCTCCTCCACTACGGCTGTCCAGCGGAGCAGAAACTCTCGTATGAAATCCTGATGAGACTTTTTACCTAAAAGACTCTCCAGGTAGTCTTCTACTTCAGCCTTAGTATCCATAGCAACTAGATACCTGTTGAATGATTTTAAAATAATTATAAAAACACAATAATTATCATAAAAATACGAAATTAATAAAATATTTGGCAGCATAATATGTATAATTAAAATTATAAATTTGAAGCATGCAGGTTAAACCATAAAAAATTAGGCATAATTATAATCAACTAAGAACAGTCAAATATATGTATATAGATCTACAGCTCAAATCAATTAGAATTAGTGACTGAATAATTCTACACAATATATATACATACTGCTCTAGTTTATTAACTAACTCTACTACTCCTTTATCAACTGGCAGTGGATAATCCTTCAGCTAACCATCTCTTTAGATCAGACTCCATTATTGTTGTTATCTAGCCACGCCTTTGTTCAAATTAAATTACTATGCTATCCAATTTGTGGGAAAACTGAGCCAAAATAATACAAAAAAAAAAAACAAAAATTACAGTCTACTACCGACTACAGGACAATTACTAATTATGGAATGAAATTGGCAAAATAATTACTAATTAGATTTTGCAATTTTTCTTGTCAATCACTTTGACAAACCATTGGCCAGGTTTCTTGATATATCGTAGAGCAGCTGTAAATGCTACAGCAAATGGGCGACTAAACTTCTTCTCGACTGCATTAATGCTCGCCTCAGTAGCATACTTATCAGTAATTTGAATCGGTTGGTTCTCCAGCCCATTAAAAGAACCAACTGTCTCATTTGCATCACTTTCCTTTGGATCCTCATTGAGTGTATCTTCACATGGTGTGTTTTCGTTTGGGGCTTCACACATTTGAATATAATCACCTTCATCATTTTCTGGTGCTACTTCACATACAGTTATTTCATCAGCTTGAGTGGTTACAGCCACATCATATTTTTCTGATAAATCTTCAGGTGTAATGTTTTCTTTTGTAGATTCCTCATGATGTGATGTGCTCTCTTGACTTGGGAGACTGCCGTAATTCTTTTGGCAAAATTGTTCACTTAGTAGCTCATTTTTATCACGCATAGAGACTGCTGCTGACCTGGGTCTCAGTCCTTCTACCTGTAATCTTTCAGTGATAATTCATAATAATTTTAATTCAATACTTCATTCTGTAGTGGTCTAAAATGACGTGGTTTTGGTGGAGGCTGAGGAGGTTTACTTGGAGACTAAAAAATATTTGTTATAATTATTTTTATAAACAATATTTACAATTAAATATACCTTATTTGGTTCAAGTCGAGGAGATATGTTACCATTATCCTAAAACATAAAAATAATTTGAATGATAATTATTAATTATGCTATTTATTATTTTACCGATGGCAATGAAAACCGTCTATTTATACTCTATGCATAAAGAAAGAAAATAATAATTACTTTCATGCTAAAATCAAGATATAAAATATTTGCCTATGACAATGGCTTACAGATCTGGTAGATGTTGGTTTTAGAAATGATTCATTTTCTTTAATTTCAAATCTCTACAAACTGAGATTATCATTATGCTAAATATTTTGAATTTACTTTTCGAAGTTCTTTCACTGAGGATTTAGGCTTTTTATTTTGTTCCTGTAAAAGATAAAAGATGTATTAATATTAATTCATGTGTCAATTACTATCTTATTAATGTACCACTTTTGTTTTAAGTTTTTCTGAAGTCTGGGCCTATTTAACATCAAAATTAAATTAATAATTAATGATTTTAATAACCTCAAATCTTGATTTTCCCACTTCCACATTAGGTTGTACTGGCCCCTATAATGTTAAAATTTTTTTTTAAATCACTATCACGTGATGGTAGGAAGGGAGAAGCACCTTTCATATACCTATCTTTTCTAGTTTACTTATGTATTTTACAGCTGAAAATATTTGTGGGGAATTAAACTTTTTAAATTCGCAATAAATTCAGTTATGCCAGTACAAAAATAATAGTCAAAATCACAAAAAATTAATCTTAAAGAATTCACAAATTTTTTCTCTGCAAAATTAATTGCATGGCTGTATACTGTATCATAATGGTTGTACAGTATGATAACTTACTGGTAATACATTAACAGTTGGTATCACTTGTCCATCACAATTTTCAGTTTCCCTTAGTTGATCATCACCTTGGCAAGCACTCGTTTCTTGTTGACCACCATCATCACCTTCGTCCACGGCAGTCATACGATGACTATTAATTTCAAGAAAAAGACTGTACTCCCTGACTCGAAAACTGCAAGTCTCCCACAGCACTTGGAACCAGTTGTCACGATCTGGAAGACGGAGGGGAGTTTGATTGCTTCTTGTTGGCTTATGGTCTCCAGTTGGTACAACTGGAACATGATTAGCAATTGAGGACTTCACTTTAACTTCATTGATGAGGAATTTGTGTAACTCTTCCTTCCATATTTTTACTCTGCCCTCAAATCTTGTTTTCTCCAAAGACTCCCAAGCCTGTACATCACTAGGAGGTGGCTCTTTTGATGGGTCATCTTTATCTCTGTCATCCCATCTCTCAACGTGCTCCATGTTGGCAAATGTGAGAACAAAGACGGTTTGATTCCAGAAGCTCTGACCAAATGCTTCAGTTAGTTTCTTCATTGCTTTCTTGTCGTCATCTCCCAATCTTGTGTTGGTCATCTTAGTGCAATAGAGAACCAAACTAAGCTCCTGGCAAGTTTCTTTCATACTTTTTATGTATTCCTCTTCATTTGATGTGTTATCTTGCAGACCAGGAGAATCAAAAACCACAACTGGTACACCATTGATCTCCTTCTGAAACACTTCAACTTCTGTAGTACATCTGGCAGCACCAGCTCCTTCTCTGGCAAAGCTAGCCCCGAGTAGACCATTGATCAGTGTAGATTTCCCTTGACCTGTCTTCCCAGTGACTAGTATCCTCAGCTCCTTACCACCAGAGCTAGTAATTGCCTCTTCCCCATATTTAAGGAAATCTTCAACTTTCGTCTCTGATATATATTTAGGTGCCTCCTGGGCGGATTTCCATAAATTAGGCACTACATCCCTTGGCTATGGTGCGTAAAATACCATCT